TCGTGCAGTTTCAAACGTCTTTGAACCGGATCAAATAATTCCAACCGAAATAAATTTAGCGTCAGCTGATCTTTAACTCTTTTCCATCTCATTATTTGAAACATGTGTAGTTGGAAGACAACATAACCAAAGTCTTGACACACATTGAGGAAACTCAGAGTGGTATTTTAAAATCTTGTCTGAGTGATTGCACTAGAATTTCCGCCATGTCTGAACGGAAAGCTGTCATCAAAAACGCCGACATGTCGGAGGAGATGCAGCAAGACGCAGTGGACTGCGCAACTCAAGCTCTCGAAAAGTTCAGCATCGAGAAGGATATTGCTGCCTTCATCAAGAAAGAATTTGACAAGAAGTACAACCCTACGTGGCATTGCATTGTGGGAAGGAACTTCGGCAGCTACGTGACCCACGAGACGAGGCACTTCGTGTACTTCTACCTAGGCCAAGTCGCCGTGCTTCTGTTCAAGAGTGGATAGAACTTGGCAAATGAACTATGAGGCAGCCGAAATGAAAATTTAAGGTCTTGTACGTTGATGATATCTTTGAAGAGGTATTTGATTTTGAAAGCGGAAAATGGTTTGGACGATTGTAGTTTGAGAATTTTTGTTTTATTTGATAAATTTTTGTTTTGGTCATGCATATTGAATCAATGCAATTAATTAATAAATTGTTTACGTTTTTGTTATGTTATTTTTTTTATTTGTTCAAACAACTGAACAATAAGCATTCAGGTAATTTAGTACTAGTAAATTAAACATTTAATAACAATATGTAACAGGTATTAAGGAATATTACAAAGGTATAAGTGTGGAGTAAAAGCGATGCTCCATATTTTGGAACTAACGACGATATTTTTTAGAACTGTTGAGATCCAATAAATAGAACGCAACATTTTTGGCAGATGGTTTTGGCTACTAACTTTGCATCCTCCTCATGCAAAATTAAAAGGTCTCTCGGTATGTCACTCATGTTCTCAAATTTTACTCATCTCATATTCGTCGGAAATGTTAAAAAGCTCTACCATATTCCTGTCATATTCAATGACGACGCTTTTTCAAACTAGAGTACTAAGCCTTGTGAGTACTACACTTGTGGTCATTCGACAATAGCCCTAAGACTATGCCCTCTTTACGGACTTAACTCCCTACAGCCCTGACTATTTTCCCCTGCGTTTGCGATGCTTCTAGAAAAAAACCTACCTTTAACCCTAGTTTTAGGTTCCATAGATAGACTATAAAAAATTGGCCAACACAATTTGGCTAGCCGATGATTTCAGTAGTTGTTTTGCATTGCATTTCTTGCCGTGTTGTATGGTTTTCTCCAATTCACATGAAGACTGACTAACGTATGGAATATGCTAATCTTACCTCACTTCATTATGTTATCAATCAAGCAGGCGCCACAGAACACAGTTCCAGGCTTGTTTGTGGTTGTACAACCTCGAGTACGTTTACCTTGCTCTCCTAGATCGTACAAAGGGTTTGTTTATCCTCTGAGAAGAATCCGACCAAAACAAACACTGAATCCTGTGGTTCCGACCGGAATGACCGGTCAATGAATGAGTCTCTAGCGTCCGGTCCATAGATCACTGTGGCACATACAAGCACATAACGGTCCTAGGAGAGAGGTGGACTTTGGAAAAAGTGTTTTTCAACTCCTAAAACTCAAAATCACAACTAGCGTTGGTCAAATAAAAATAGCTAAGTTTCAAGAATATTGGTCTGTAACTAAAACTTGTGTTAAAGATCAATTGTTGTCGATTGTGTATATTTTCTTGAGCTTAATAACTGAACAATTCACTTTTGATAGAAACCACTTCCTAACAATTAAGACTAGAAAGAAGTACCAACTTTTGCTATGCGGTTATTGTGTCCTCTGTTGATTACCACATGTTTATCGAAATTGAATGTTTTCTTGGCATTACCACGCATTACCTGCCTAAGAAGTTGTCGACTTGGCTGTTCACCCCTGAAGCAACTCTTATCATTTTGAAGGTGACTCATGATTGGTGTTCCACTAAGCTGATGGAGGCGAAGTGTCTAGACAAAAACTAGGATGGAAGATAGGGGAGAGTTCAAGGCTATGCGTTCAACCCTTTAGATGTTTGAGGTGTTTCACCTTTAAGTAAATTCCGTCGGGTTGTCAAGAAGAGGCCCGCCACTAGTAAAAGTTTCTCTATGCAAGTTAGGAAAAGTCAGGTTAGGTTAGGTTTTGAGTCAATGAAAGTTGGCTAGGTTAGGTTCGGAAGTCATATGAAGTTGGCTGGGTTAGGTTAGGTTAGGTTAGGTTGGGTTGGGTTAGGTTGGGTTAAATCAGACGAAGGTTAGGTCAGAAACTAGGTTAGGGTAGGGTAGCGCACCGATTTCATTTCCATTGGGCAAACTTTCGGCCCACTTTTTGGATGAGATCTAATTCCATAAATTAATTGAAGACTGGAAGTCAATAAGGCTGTGAATAAACTAGTAATGGTTTTAGGTCGACATACACAGATTCCTTTCAGGATCGTTCCTAACTCGCATCATACACTCGGGGTTGCCCTAAAATTAGGGAACACATAAGATTAATTGCTACTCTCTCCTAATGCCAAATTAAACGTAAACGTGTCGTTATAACGGAATAAAACAGTTTTTTCTTGTACTTTTTAATAATAATAATCAAATTGATTCAGGATAAATAAGAGTGTGCTAAATATCATTGCAATGAAGACATTTAACACATCTTTTGGTAATAATAATGTTCACACCATTTCAGCTTGAATATAATTGTAATCTAAAAGTTAATTTACCCTTGAAGGAATAATTTATTCAAAGTCTAGTTACAATCTGTCTAACAAAATTAGACCACCATTGAATTCATTTTTCAATCTATTAATTTGGTCCTGAGAGGGAAGCTGTAAAAGGTGTTGTAAATGATCGTTATCGGTCTAATGAACAGTGACGTAAAAAACAGAAATCAATCAGTCAAATTCCTCTGGTTTGATGGACGCCAGCAGCTATGAAGGTGAGGTAATGTATTCAAGGCACAGGGTCCAATATGTCTGCCCTGGGGTTAGTAGCATTCTTCTTACCTCTAACAATTATTCCTTGAGCTCCCGCTACACAAATTACAAAATACCGAGGATTCCAGACCTGACGCCAAGTCCAGCGTCAGGGAATCTTCTTATCTCGAGTGAGTTAGCAGTAAACTATGAACTTTGTCGTTGGGCCCTCATAGCATAGCAAATGTATTATGGAGTAGGTAACTGTGCAATGCATGTGTTAAATGTATTAGACAATATGTACAATGGATTTAAAACTTTATAAACTACCAAAATTTACTCTTCGTCATTGGAGATCTTGAAAGACAATAAACCGGTACGTATTACCGTACATCCAATACATATATTATTTTTAGACAATGCGTTGGTAATGGTAACTACCAATAAAAGTTAAACTCATTCACAGTCTATTGATACGGAGGTTATAAGATGAACTCGAAGGGCAAGTTTTAGAAATAAAGATCATGGAAACTTAAACACACCCAAGGAAACAGAATTTACTCTGAGAGATAACTCAACACTGAGCATAAAAACTTTTTTTTTAAGATTGTTGAAATCTCAAACTGGTCTTGAGATTTTAACTTTTTGTTTTCATGAAGAGTTTTGTCTTCTCCAGCCGATCCAAGAGAGAGGGAGAGAGTACTACACAACATCAAAGAAGGGGATAAAACCTAAACCTAAACCAAATTTACGTTTAGAAGATGACGTTTTGACCACAGTATATCAAAACGAATTACAAAAAAAAACCACAGTCAGTGAAACATTTAACTTTTTTAACAATGCATAAATATTTGTGTTTCTTTAACAAGCAAAGCATGTTCAGAATGATGACACTTGTCAAACAGCTGATCATTTAAGCCAGTAAATTAACGCCTCTATTTTAATCGGCACACATCTGTCACTAGATCTGTATGCTTCTCCCCTTCCAGCCTAAAACCATTGACTATTGGCATTGAATATATAACACTCTGTGTTATATATTCAATGCTATTGGATACAGTTGTTGCATTAATAGCCAAAGCTAAAACGTTATTCAATTCGAGGTCTAGGATTTTTCAATATAACAATATAACATCCTTTTCTGACCCTTTCTTAATATTATGAATGCTGTCCGTTTCGTTTCAGCCAATTTAATTCTGCATGTTCTTTTATTTCAGAAGTTCTTAATCATGACAAGTTTCATTGGAAGAATACTCTCGCCGCTTCCGTGGTGAAGACCTGTTGTCCAGTGGTCGAGGTGATGAAGTCTGGACCACAAGAAACGTTATCAGATCTGAGATGAGTCAGCTTAACATCGCGGCAACTCTTTGACCCCCCCCCCTCCTGCCACCCCCTCCTACCAAGGATGACTAGGGCTATGGTAATGCTCTTTTCTTGTTTTTATTTGCCCTCCAATATCCGACCTCAGACCCGCTATTGAGCTGCAAACAGCTCTAGATTGAATAGGTGTTGTGGTGTTAGGAAGTTTGAAGACAAAATGTTCAAATCTCCGAATGTATTGTAATGTTTACTCAAAACACATACTTAAGAGTGTAATAATGATTAAAAACTTCTCATATTTTTAACATATGCTTATTTGCAGGTATATTAGGCAGATTGTAGGATAAAACCTATATTTATAGAATTAGGTTACAACATCCAAAAGTCAAAGATAAAACTTATATGCTGTAAAGTACCCATTGATATAATATGTGTGTTTGTTTCTGGTTCTTTTCGTCTTGCATCACATAAATATGTTTGAAATTAGATACTCTAGGACCTAGATGCTTCATACAACTAGGGTCTATGTAACTGATTAACATTAAATATGAATATTTATTTATATAACTACAAAAGATTAAAATTAATTCAAATGAAATTCTTTGGTGTCCATGATCTCCACATTGTTCACTAGTCTCTGACATAGTAAGAAAACATAACGTAATCTAGAACCCCAAAGGTAAATAAACAAGGCAGGCCGGGTTTGAAGCGTTTATTGTCGCTTAGTCCTCCTCATCGTCAAAGTTGAAGCGTCGTTTGCCGTCGAACCTGAACCCGTAGGCGGGACTGTTGTTGGTGTCCACCAGGGCGGGGTGGCGGTGTTGGTAGAAAGACGCATGGCCGTGGCTGCAACAGGGGTTAAGGGGTAAACATCTAAACTAAACCATTTTTAGGTTAGTTTTAATCTATGACTAAGGATGGTACTCGATTGCATTCCCATGTTAAATTCGTTGCTAGCCTTTATTAAGAAACTTTAAGAAGTGTCCCACGTGGAATTGCATTGTGGGTAGAACCTTCGGCAACCACCATAGCCTCCTCTATTAAAAGGTCATCTACTAATGGTATTTACTCAGGGGAGGTACAGAAGAGGCTACGATGACAGCTGTGGACTTCTTATTAGCTGAAGGAATGCCATTACCGAAACAATACGGTCAGTGGCCATCGGCCTCGGTGGTCTAGTGGTCAGCGTGCCGGGCTGATATGCTGAAGGTCCCGGGTTCGAATCTCGCTGGCAGCACTAACTTTTTGTCCAAGATATTTTCATTATCAGCAAGTTTGGTTGGTTTGGTTCGGTTATGACAGTTTAATTTTATTATAAGTCATTATAAATTTTAATTTAGCAATTTCTAGTTTTATTTAATAAACAGAATTATTTTTTCATTACTAAACATTTGTTATATTATTTAATTATCAGCAAGTTTGGTTAGTTCGGTTAGGTTATGATAGTTTAATTTTATATTTTAAAAATTATAAAATTGAATTTGAGGCATTTATAATTTTATTTTATGAACAGAACGATTTTTGCGATTAGTATTAGTAAACCTTCATTGCCAAAGTGCTCTCTACTACAGCGCTGTTCACGGAGGAATTTTGAACTAATGCCTCATTCGTACCTCCCCTAAGTCAGACCCTCTACTAATGTATGGCACTGTCGCAACGGCCGGTCTGTTGATTTAATAATAACCCCAATAACATTAATAACAAACGTAAACATAAACGTTGCACATAGGTTCCATTGTCAAGTGCAACAGCTGTTTCGACAGGCCAGAATTGCGGCGTTGCCACTTTTGTCTCGTCGCTAGTAGAGGAGGACATCCAAATTAAATGTGCTTACATCTAAAATTGTTTCCTACAGGTTACCTCACCTAGGACGAGAATTGCCGTTCTCAACGCCGTAAGCCTCGCGAGGGTAGAAGGCCTCGAAGGCGGTGTCCTTGCTGGGCAGTACTGACTGTAGGTTTGGATCATCAGGATCATAGGGTCGTCCCAGGACAGCGGTCATCACACAGCACAGAACTACGGCTGCCAACATCTGTGCAGACAAGAGTCAATAGTCATCAAGAAGACATTCATACAGGGATATTTGGCGGTGTCCTTGCTGGGCAGTACTGACTGTAGGTTTGGATCATCAGGATCATAGGGTCGTCCCAGGACAGCGGTCATCACACAGCACAGAACTACGGCTGCCAACATCTGTGCTGCAGACAAGAGTCAATAGTCATCAAGAAGACATTCATACAGGGATATTTGGCGGTGTCCTTGCTGGGCAGAACTGACTGCAGGTTTGGATCATCAGGATCATAGGGTCTACCCAGAACATCGGTTATCACACAGCACAGAACTACAGCTGCCAACATCTGTTCAGACAAGAGACAATAGTCATCAAGAAGACATTCATACAGGGATATTTGGCGGTGTCCTTGCTGTGCAGAACTGACTGCAGGTTTGGATCATCAGGATCATAGGGTCTACCCAGAACATCGGTTATCACACAGCACAGAACTACAGCTGCCAACATCTGTTCAGACAAGAGACAATAGTCATCAAGAAGACATTCATACAGGGATATTTGGCGGTGTCCTTGCTGGGCAGAACTGACTGCAGGTTTGGATCATCAGGATCATAGGGTCTACCCAGAACATCGGTTATCACACAGCACAGAACTACAGCTGCCAACATCTGTTCAGACAAGAGTCAATAGTCATCAAGAAGACATTCATACAGGGATATTTGGCGGTGTCCTTGCTGGGCAGAACTGACTGAAGGTTTGGATCATCAGGATCATAGTGTCGTCCCAGAACAGCGGTTATCACACAGCACAGAACCACGGCTGTCAACATCTGTGCAGACAAGAGTTATCAAGAAGACGTAGACGAGGTGGCGTAAAGGGACATTTTTGTCGGTGTCCAGAGAGATTCAGATAATGTTTCATCTATGAAATCTAAAATTGATTACAATCTGTGGGCTATACCTTTATAAAGCTGTTGCAATAAATCAAATTTTTAACAAGAAAAAAGTTTGTAATTGGATGTGATTGCATCGTGAGTAGAGCTTTGTGTTTGTGATTTATTCATTCTAGAACCATCAATACCATAACCACTACACAATGACCCAATAGGATGGTAAACAAACTATCAACCAAATTAATTCTGAATCAGTAAATTATTAATTTAAATAGGCCTACCTATTAAATACAAGCTCACCTAAATTTACATGATTGTTGTAAATATCACTGAAGTTTCTATTAATTTTCATCCAAGAATAATAACATTTTCAATTGAAATATCCCTTAGTGTAAATGCAACACAGGGATATTTCAGTTGAAAATGTTATTATTCTTGGATGAACATTAATAGAAACTTCAGTGATATTTACAACAATCATGTAAATTTAGGTGAGCCTGTTTTTAATTTAATACGAACTAATGTTATCAAATAATGGTTTAAACATTCTCGTAACAAAATAAGCTTTAGAGCATCAATAAGTGCAATCTGCGGGCTTGCCCCTTGGGAAAAATTATTACCCTTGCTTAAGAAACAGCTTGTATTAGCATTGACTATTGGATACTACAAAGGTATTAGTCAGTAAAAGGTAGTAAAAGACACGTCACTCCAATCTACACGCATCGCTTACTCACATTCAGATTAAAATATGCATTGTGGTGCTCCTGACTTCATGTTATTGACCAAGATATAATATCCATTCAATCAATCAACCTACCTAAATAAAAGTATAGGTTACTAAACTTACAGCTCCATACGTTCGTCTTTTTGGGTTAAAAAATTAATTTTACGGCTTAAAAGTTATTTGTTGTTTTCCAGAACCGTAAACCCCTTCACCCTACTAAAGTAACTGCGACCATCTCAGCTATATTTGGGTTTGGTCTATTAGTCACGCACCAAGAAAGAACAACTCAACGAGTCGAGTCTGTTCGCACGTTGTTCTTTTGTTCAGAGGCCAATTCACAATCTAAGTTGTTATTATTATTGTAAGGATATGTTGGGATTTACTTTTATAATTTCTAAAAGTATTACTTCCCTTTCAAATTAAAAAAAAAATGATCCTACCCTTGTGCCATGCTCAGAAATTCAAGGCAGCGAACTGACTTTGACCTTTAAATTAAAACTATATTACACTTGCCACGATTTGAATAATTAACCTCAAAAATCGATGTAAAAAACGAATTTTCTTGTGAACTCAGAACTGAACAAAGAGACACTAGTACCTAACACACTAGAACAAAACACAGACACAACTCAATGTTAACAAAACAAAACATTTTCGTTTTTTTGCGTATTCGCAATCTACAAGCCCAAACAACTGTTCAGTTCAGATGAAAGTGTTTGCTATACTGTTTTGGTTTGATCTAAACAGCCGCCATTGACCAGTGACCACGTGCCCGACATAACCTAGACCGAGGAATGACTGCACTTACCTTGACGGCGACTGACGCTACCATCACAAAAACTGGTCTACGCCTGGGCTGCCCTAACCTCTCACTTTCACTGAGACGACGCAACTATTGTTTCAGGTTGCGTGGACGTCCTGGCAAACTGACGAACAAACTGGGCTGTCTTGCCAAACAAACACAGCAAACCCACCTACCTAAACAGCCTTGAACCCGGGGTAACTCTTGGACGAATAGATAACCGGAAGGTTACTTAGATTAACTACATTATTTCCTTAATTATTGGGCCGTCAAAGGGTACAGAGATTTGTTTATGGGTAGTTAAGTTTTGTCGGAGTATTTAACGGTTGTTTATATCGACTAATATCTACGTACCTTTGGCTGTAGAAACATAATTTTACATTTACGACTGAAAAATATCAAGTTGAAAACAACTCATTAACGTGAACGTTAATTATATTCTTATTCATGATTTACTATGTAGTAGAGTCCACAAGGGTTCATCAGAGCATCGGTATAGTTAAATGAAAGTGAAATTAAACATTTATTATTCTTTGATTATAGTTGATACGATTCTGGTCTTTTATAACTTTTTAGGGAGGATACAGCAACACCCAACACCAAAAAAATAGATCGGGAGGGATCTCTTCGAAATAAGAGATATGAACGTCCTCGCGTACCCCAGCAAGAAACTATTCCCAAAATAACTCAGTGACTTATCCCAAGCCGCCCCGAGATCGTAATCTCGCCGACATCAGTACTCGTCCATGCAGGATAAATCCTGGACCGTTATCAGGTGAACGACCCAGCCCTACGGTGGGAACCATCCTAGAATCACCTGAATAATTAGATAAACCGGTCAGCTCTATTAATCAATAGTCCGTGGCATGGACCCTGTTGTTACTGGGACATAACCATTCAACGGCGTAGTGAAGACATAACTGAGTAATCGACACGTCTGTCTGGGCTTTGTAGTCTATTACGAGGTTTGATGGGTGCTAAGGTTTATATTGTAGTCTAACTAAGGGTGTAGTTAATAGTTACACTGTGTATTACTCGTATCGTTGACATTTTAAACTAGTTGAAAAGTTATGCAAGTTTCACCCATATGAGTACCGTAATTAAAGGATGAGTGTAGAATGGTGTGAGATCTATGTAGCTTAAGGTTAGCTGGTTCATCAGTCAGGATCATTTATTTAAAGCCCAATGATCAGGAACACCTGGGTCTGGGTCCAGTTTCGAACCATCAAAAAGCTACTGACTTTCATAGATTAAACATAGTGTAAGAGTCTAATTTGTTTGCATGTGTTTGTACATTCAATTGACTTAGCCTAAGTATGTTATTTTTCACAAGTTTCATGGCAATGCCAGGTGTTTTTTTCAACATTAACTTTTTGGCACATCTTATAAAGAATCAACCGTTTAGAGGAGATGATTGTAATTTGTTCATCTTTGCTAATATTGAAATTCTCCCGAATTATAATCTTTTATATTAATACGTGAGGACTGTTTTTTGTGAACAAAACTCCTCCGTTATTTCTGGACCGATTTTAACATTCGAGGTGTCAAATGATTTGTCTCAATTTGTAGTTTTTCATAAAGGTTTTAGAATTTGAAATCTCTTACCCTTAACAGCAAAAACTCCTCCGTTATTTCTGGACCGATTTTAACGTTTGAGGTGTCAAATGATCTGTCTCAATTTGTAGTTTTGCATAAAGGTTTTAGAATTTAAAATCTCTTACCCTTAACAGCACGAGACCCTCTCAAAGGTCGAATTTTCCCCATAAGAATTACATTGAAAACAAATTTAAAAACAAAAACAGCTGTAGACCTATATAAAAATAAACTCACCATCTTTTTGGGAGTAAATATTGATGTTTGTAATATTTAGGAGATTATAAATTAATCGAAACAGTTAATCTGTTTTGTTGGAAGATAAAAAAATTCTTGAATTTAAAGGAGAAATATTGAAAACAGGAGGAGGAGACAATTAATAGGAAATCTTATACTTATGAGAAGAGTAGAATAGAGGCCCGCGGTCTCACAGTAAGGAATCCAGGTACACAATCACTTGGAGAGATGAATCATTTTTGCCAGTTATGCTAAGCAACTTATTTTGGAAGTAAAAAAAAACCATGAAACACATCATGTTGTCACAGTGATAAAGTAAACCTACCTAAAGTCAGATTAAATAAATACATGCAAGAAATGTTTACTGGTAACAGCTTTAAGTCGGGAAACATTTGTAGAATACACTAAAAAATAAGGCCTGGTCCAAAAATGCTAAAATATTTTTACAAGAAGCGTTTATTTATTACTGTATTTCAAAGTGCTATTAAATAGCGTGAGTATTTCAATTAGTTACATAAGCATTTATTTGGGTCTTTTAAACTCATCGAACATTATGACTGTTATTACTGTAGTTTTAAAATAACTTCTGTATAGTACCGGTATTTGACAATTGCTCGATTTCGAGGAACAGGTACACTAGTCATGTTGAATAGAAGATAAAAGCATTATCTCAATCTCAAAATCAAATATTTCACTTGAGCACTTAAGTATTTTATGTTATAGATTGGATTACTCATTGATCAGATACTAAGATGAACATGTTAGGTTTTACAAGGCAACTAGTCTTGGAAGATTAAGGTTTCTAGTTTCTGTTGTGTGATGTTTCCCATCAAATGACAAGCACATTGCACTCATTTACTACTACCAACATCGGCTGCGCCTGGGAGTGACGAGAGTTGTTAATATTACAGTCATTGACTGAACAAACTCCTTCAACAGTTTTATCACCCTTTCTGAATTAGCTGAAGATAGTTTGTAAATAAGTTTGTATTTTGTACTTGAGTGCAGTATCTCCTGAGGTACATTTAATTACTGATTTCTATCGAATATGCAGACTTTTTAACCAAGTCAAGCTGATGACATACTGTACGCTACGCCATAATTTATTTAGCGTCAATTATCTCTTCTCGGTAACAAAAAAAAGGTAGAAAAAGAATACACTAGCACACTCTGTGACTGGCTTACAGAATTATGTTCTTTTCTACAAAATTTGTGACAGCTGGTCCATAAAGATGGGAAATCTCCTTCAGTAAAAAAGTCCAATAGTAAATGTTTAAAGTCTGATATAACCCACCCAATCTGTTTGCAAACTTAAAGCTTAAGCCACAGCAAAAATTACAACAGAATGTGTGATATTTTGTTTTATCAAAAACATTATAAACATTTTGTTATTAACTCCAGTGTGAATGCGGTTTTCAGTGATAATCTCCGTTTGTTGAAATAAGAGCAGCAATGCAGCCCTTGACAGACTAAATGGAGGCTAAATTTTTCCTTCGTGGCCCTGTTTGGATGTACCCTAGTTTAAAACAAGATTCTCCACCATTAATTGTTGCAGTTTCTGAAAAAAAAAAAAAAAAAAAAAAAACAGAATACGCCACAATAATGTAAACCTCATTCCACTTGCCAAGACAACATCACACTAGTGTTTATTTTTAAAACTGAAATTGAATGCAAGGTGTAGCATTTTAATAGCTGTGATTAAAACAGAATTTTAAAAAAGAATCTATACACCAGTCACCAGTATCCAAGAGATGGCCCAATTGATTTATTTACACACTAAATATTTATGGGATTAGAAGCATAATCACCAAAGTGTCGAGCCTAAAACTCAATATAGGAGAGAATATCGGTATTGACAGTGGTTAAGTTCTCATATTATGATCTGATTTATTTAAAGTTGAATTACATAATTTGGCGTAGGGGTTGGCGATCCCATCGCCCAGTGGCTAGCCATTGCAAACAGCCTCCCTGACTCCCTACTCTTCAACTGAGCAGGGTCTATCTGTTCACTCCATGTTTTTCTTTTCCCAAGCATGGACCAACTGTCTTCATCTTTCTGTCTCTACTCTCTTCTTCTCCCAACTTCCACCCCCTCCCTTTCCTTCTTCTGTTACAGGCCAACCCAAGGTGGGCCGTGCTGAAGGGTAGATGGTACCAGCCATCTTTTGTATGGTGTCTGAATGTTACCTTCAGGATACCAGACGCCCTCCTGCAGTACAGTCGTCGCAGCTATTCCGGCCGCGCGGACCCTTGTGTACTAGCCGTGCTGAGAGTAACGGCTCGCTCATCCCAAAAGCCTCGCTGAACAACCCCAGAGAGCCGTGTGGGCCAGGTGTTTTTGGAAATGAGCAATAAACACTCCCCCCTACACCCCCCGCCCTAGCGCGGCCGCGCGCCCAGACTAGCTGCGACTACTGTAATCAGGGTTGCCTGGGCATGCGAGGCTCTGTCCAGGTCGACTTCAGATCCCTTTGCTTCTCGTGGGAACGCGGACTATTACCGCAAGTCATGGAAGGGGAGGTAAAATGCCCCGACCTTTGAAGAACTACCCGAAACTAGGAGAACCTGATGGAAAGAACAATCCTCGTAGAGTGGGGCAGGAACCTGCCGATACCTACCCTTCTTAGAAGGTTCCATGCCCTGATGAAGCCAAGAAGAAAGTGGATAAAAGGAAACATCAGCAGCGCAGGACAAACCGGCGCCTTGAAAAGGAATAGGGGGACACAAGAGATTACCCCACACCTGAATAAGAACTGTTTTGAGAATGTTAACAACTTTTATTACTCGACATTGCAGGCTCAGAGGTCATCTGAGAAAAAATGAACATGTTCAGGAAAGTGACTGCCGATTACCAACCAGGGGAAGAAACACCCAGACTATTGGCTTAATGTGATGGATTTATGCAAAAGAGAGCCAAGAGCTTGGGAATGCACCAAGTAGCAGTTGGAGATTTTCTGCAATAGAACCCTACCTGACACTGAACTTCATTATGGAGTTAGGATTGGAGGGGGTTCTCTAGTTAAAGTCTGGAGACTAGTTTGGGGAACACAATAGATCCTACAGATCACAGTATAACCCCCCCCCCCCACCAGTGTCATCAGTATTAGCAAATAAGGCATTAACATGAAAAAAACAATAAATATGCAAGACTTCAGCTATGATCCGGTTTATTTAAAGATGAATCACAAAAACCTTAACATGAAAACAAACAATAAATATATAAAACTTCAGATAACACTAAAAAATACTATATTGTCTCACGGTTGTTTTACTTTGATTGCAGCTAGTCATAATACTATGTCTCTTAAAACAATATTTAACAAATAATATATTTTGAAAACAAAAATAGTTAAATAATTTTAATCAGTTCAGTTATAAATTCTATTTCTCTAATACTGTAAGAATTTAGGGTAATTTTTGTTCATTAATAAATGGTAAATCTTTAGATAAATCACATTTAGAAATTCATGTGCCTTTTAATCATGGTCCTAATTGAGCTTTGAAATGAAATGAAAAATCATTTGTTTACACCGCCAAAGTTAGGGCCACATGGCCCTTTCTTACACTTAACCTGTTGCTTTGTAGCTTTTTTGAGGGACAAATATATGCCATGTTCAGATTTTTATAAAGCAACTATTCATTTACATGCGTAAACTAATGGATAAAATAAAATACAATCTATAGTTTTTAATTATTATAAAATTGATCAGTATTTGTAATAATTTAATTAAAATTTTGCCATTTCCACATTCATTAATAATAATCTGTGATAATTACATTTTGGAAAAATAAATGTGTTAAATTCATTAGACAATAAATCAAATGAAATTTAAAACAAGCACGTTGCCCTAATAATGACTGAAATATAAAACCTAAATGATTTTTAAAAGTATTTTAATACTTAAAAAATACTTATTTGCAAATACATTTATGAATTATAAAAATAATAACTTAATCCTAAATCACGTTGATATTCGATAGTAAACACACTTTTATCAAAACCGCTTAGCTTCTCAATATAAAAGTATTTCTTAAGTCATGTTTTACAGCTACAGGAACTCATACAGAAATAATTCCATAATGTAAAAGCTACGCTAAAATTAATACAATAAAAGGCGTACATTCCACAATAGTTGTATATCTATTAAAACCTACATTTTCTATCTAATGTCATTTTAAAAATATATATAAAATATAAAATATTTCAATTGGGTGTGAAATAATTTTTCAGTGTTCAATCACACAAACACATTTTGACACGTAAAACGTATAAACTTAGTTCACAACACAATAAACGTAATTTTTTTCACAAATGGTACAGAAGAATCCTGATTAACTGAGGTTCTACTAATCGAAGTTCCGTGTTCAGTTCACTGAGTATGAGTATTCACTGGATGTGTAAATATATTAGCTTCATGTAAATACGGAAGCATTGCTGTTGGATTCGGTGATCGGACTGATAACTCGCTACTTGAGTTGCATGTTGAGTCAGATTCAACCTGTGGCTGCCCCAATTTAATACTGTCGTTATGAGTCGAGTGACTTACTAACCTATGACGTTAAGGTTTTCTGAGTTCATTGGAGTGATACAATGTGGGCGATTGGTTGAATGACAACCAACATTTTGAAGTTTCCAATTAAGCAATTGAAAATTAACCTACACAAAATAGTGAGTTACATCAATGGATAAAGCGCTAGTCAGGAGCCACTGGTATATGCAGAATACCAAGAAAACAAAAAGTCAGCTGACGTATTTATGTTACGTCTGCGCAGTTTGGCGAAAAAAACGAAGCAGCACAATCAGACAGAAAACTGTAAAGGACTTTTTCCACTTTTTGAAATTTTAGGGGTTAAGCAATGTTGTCAATTGTAAATAGTAAGTTCTTTTGTTTGTTTCGAACCGATCCATTTACAATTTTAGTGTGGTTACACAATGGCCGGCCGCGGCCGGTGGCGGGAAAAGCTAATGCGCTGCGTAGTTGAGTGTGCGAAAACATTGAAATTTAGTTTCATTCAAATAAGAGACATATACTGCGTTCCAGTCGTTTTGGACATAGTTTTACAAGAACCCAACCCAACAGATATCAGCACTAAACAAAACTGCAAAGCTGATCAGTATTGCCAAAAGGAGGGAAAATGCAAGGCCAAAATACCCTGATACCATTAAAATAAATCGCAAAAAAGGTGTCAAGGACAATTTTAAGGCTAGGTTCCATTCAAAATGCTTCCCTACAGTAATTATTATCATTATTCTCTATTCCATTTCCCTAAATACAAGCAAAAACCCCACAATGGCTACACTACACTAAATTTGGAACAGCCCCCTCCACGCATAAAATAGTCAGATCTGAGTGAAAACGAGTTATACTGGATGGTACAAAAGAGTAGGTACAAAACTGGCACAATAAGCACCAATCGGACACAACGTTGAGCTCACACTGAAGCATGGTTGTTGGCATGGTAGGATGACGACATTTCCTGCCCCGTGACAGTCCCGCAGGTGAGAACTCCCGCCCTGTGCACTTAACGTGATAATAGTACAGTTATTACCTATCAGGCCTAAAGACAAATTTCACTCCAGCCCTGTCGCAAATTTCACTATAGCCTACCTTTCTTAAATTGAAAATGCTGTCATTGACAGTGAAATGTACATGTTATGTATATTGGATTTTTTTTATTTGTGCAAGACTCTTTCTTATTCAGACCAGCCTGCTATCCTAACGGAAACCGCTTAAAAAGTTCCCATTGTGCATATTACATCCTTAACCGTTAATTTAACAGCAGTTAAATTATTTTTTTGTGTTTAAATCAATACTCCCTAATGTCTTCGTAAGTATCCGTTTCAAACAGAGGTTTTGGTTATCCGAGATAACTTCACTTTAGATTACCTCAGTTAATCAAGATTCTTCTGTAAAAACTGAGAGATATATTTTAGAAAATCGCTAATAAAATAATGTACAACGAAAATACAAAACAGCCGATAACACTTAGACAGAATACAAGTAGCTCTCCAGCTTGACTTTGGGCGGAGGTCGTGTGAAAGGAGAGAACCAAGCAAGAGAAAACCTTCCGAACACAGCTTGAATACTCTTCCAACGAGACTTGCGGACCCAACGTGCCTCCTCCTTCTTGAGTTGCTCTATACCCTGCAACCAGAGAATGATCTTAATAATTACAGCACAAAAGAGTAAATTTTTTGGAGATCAACAGTATTACAGCACTAAAGATTACAGTCAAATTTTTCTATATGCGATCATGACACGGTGGACTGTCTTTTTTTTTAGGTTAGCAGAATCTTTTTAACCTTGCATTTACCCGTCCACATAGCTGTGCGTGGAAGGCATCCAGCTCATCGATCATCGATGCTGTAACAAGGGGTGAGACAGTACAGTACAAGTGTGAACTGTACTGAAAAATCCGAACCCACTAAATCGCTGGCCAGAAGTATGTGGCACTAACGACTGTGCCGACTCACAGAACACTTTGACGATGAACTTCTTTGTCCGTAGTGTTTTCAAGAAAAAAAAAACCCTCATATTCATGAAACAGACTGTAGGTGGATATATATAAAAATTGAGGATATTTATAGGCATGCACTGTGGATGCGATACGCCTTGGTGTGGATTAACTTTTGCATTAGAGAGTAGTACGACTATCCGCAGTACTATCCTGATAATTATACCAATTTGTTAATTTACAACAAGGCAAAATGTGGTTCAGATTCCACTATAAACTGTAGGTCCATTAGTTGCCATTGGCTGTATGGGCTGTTAATTAACCCTTACCACGCTACATATGTTGGGTGGCTTTGACCGTAACCCTACATATGCCTAAAAAATATCTTTCCCCATAAGCCAAAGCTGATTATTTTTTTAATAATTATAATAATATAACAACAACAAAACCATATTTTAGCGAAATAGCGGAGAACAAAGTTTACCGTGGAGTCTGTGAGTTAACAAAACACTTGCGAGTTAGTCCGTCCACAGCGCTGGCGTCTCTCATAGCAGAGACCGGCAATTGTAGCATGCCGCCATTTTTGAGTAGGCGGGGAACGTTGTTATTGTGAATTTACATCACGTGAGATGTTTCCCAACAGCTGCTGCACGCTATCGGCAAAACTTGGAACTACCAAGACCAGCCAATGCACTCTGTATTATAAGGCGAGTATAGTCGTCCATAGCGTTTTGTGCAAAGAGAATTTCGGCGAGTATATTCGTCTACAGCGAGGTAAGGGTTAACAGCTGTGTCTAAGAAACATGCTGGCCTTAGTCACTAACAGGACTACAAGATCGCGCCACTCATCCTACACTCATCTCCATTCATACTTGGCTTAAAATACCTACATTCATAGGGTCGCCAATTCAGAATAAAATGTTAAAGGTACATTGAAAAATTGACTTCCTCCTTGCTCTATTATTTACAAGTAAATTAAACAGGATAAATGAAAACATAGAATCAACTCAATTATGATTTCTGTTTATTGTATTAACTATTAACTACAAGTAAAAACCCATTGATCATTTAATTCACAACTCAACCTAAATTTTCTCCTTTACCTATATCACAAAATTTTATAAAAAAAATAAGTATCAAAATCTTAATGTATATTTTTAAATTGTTAAAAGAACCTATTGGCTTGCGCGTTTTTGGCGGAATGTGACTCGGTTAACCAAAGGAACACCAAGAACAAAAAGACATAGAACAAGCAAAACTTGGTAATTTAATACAAACAAGTTCTTAAAACTGTGCAGCACTGTATGTTTTTAAAAATTGTGTTTTTTTTTTCAACACAAAAAAAGGTATAGAGAAATTTATTTCAGATCTTGGCTTGTCTAATTTTATCTCTTGTTAATCACCATTTTTCATATTTTAAAATATTTAACTTCTTGAGAATAATTTATTAGCATCAATGTCTTACCGTCTCATCATTCCAGATAGCATGCAACTGGGTAACGAGCATTGCCAGAGTGAAGATGGCGAACAGAAGCGCTTCAAACACCAGAAACACTAGCAGCACCACCGTCGTCGGGGGAGAGTAAGAAGAACAATCCTTCCACTCTAGTCTCACGCACGTGTAGAACTGGTTGGCGACCAGAAACAGGGAATGGATGGATATCGATGCTATGTAGAACTGCAAAAAAATTATAAATGTTTTCTTTCTTTCATTGGGCAAAACCAAAAACTCTAGTACTTACAGAAGAACACATTCCATGTTGAGTTTACAGCTTGGTCTAGAGGAAAACAGGTGGCAAAATTAAGGTGAAAAAAATTTAAGATCAGAAAAAGCAAAGTCATTGAGATAAATACAGAGTTTATTTACACTTAAAAGATTAATCAAAAATTACGTTTGAGACTCAAAAACTCAACACAAGGTTGGCGGAAACATGGAGGACAGCGGCAAAATATTGGACATAGATACGAGATGTATTGTTGAAATATACTATTTCGATTGAGAAAAGTGTCTTGAACTTAACTGATTCAAACTATCAATGTCTCAAATGAAACCCTTTTACTATGAGTATTTTAAGACCAGACATATCAAATAACTAAAATAAAAATGGAGCTATCATTGAGTAGATAGGTCCTAAAGTATTATAATTATTGTTGATTCATGATTCAGCAGGGAGCTTGAGGTACGTCGGATCTAAATAACCAATAGCTCAAATTAAAGCTGGTAATTCAGTGAAGGTTCTTAGAAAAAAACATATAGTATAATGGAATTAGAACTGGTGAAATACATCTTTCATTAGAGTTTGAAGAAAAAAAAATTTGTAGGCTATTATTTGGTCGAATAATACAATAAATAAATCAATGTCAATGTTTGATGGCAAATCTGTGCATACTTTTAATTAAATAACTTCTTGATCAGCATTGTACGTGTTATTAAATTTACGGAAAGTAAATAAAAGAAACGTCTTATAACACTTAAAACATATATTTACGCTTATAATGTTATTCACTAGACGGTAAATATACAAAAAAGATTACCACTTACCATCTTTTTTGTATATTTACCGTCTTGTGAATAACAGTATAAGCGTAAATATATGTTTTAAGTGTTATAAGACGTTTCTTTTATTTACTTTCCGTACTTTTAATTTTAGACCAAAATTATAAAACTCGGCCAAACCGACTCAGAAACTAAAAACTAATATTTTTTTATATATAAATGCAATTAAATGCTATTACGGAGAGTGAAATATACTGTAATATTTAAGTAGGTAGGCTTAAATGGATGATGAAATGAGGTACTGAATTTGAATTAATGCCAAATATTCTACAAAAAAATTGTTTTTGTACAAAACGATCCGGCTCTCTTTTGGTTAGAGGTGAATCAGGCACTGTTTCAATATATTAATACATTCAAACATGTCATTTTGCCTGTGTCCCAACAATAATGCAAGGACAAGAGCTAAAAACCAATAGTATGGCCAACAGTTGAAATAATCTAAATCACAAAACAAATTGTGTTAAATGTTCTTCATTTAACTGAGGTTAGGCATACTCCTTCATTTTCCTATCAAGGTTGAATTTTAATAAGCTAATTTAAACTGCATAAAGCGACTTACAGTAAAAAGAACAAAATACTTCTGATTATCTTCACCAACACAGTTGTTAACCCAAGGACAGTGGTGATCCATCTTACGAATACATCTGAAACAAACACATTTAAATCAGTTAAAACTTCTGTCACAGTTGCCAACCTCTTATAAGGTAATGTACCTTTGAGTAGTGAGGAGATGTACCTTTGAGTGGTGAGGAAACATACCTTTGATTAGCAAGGAAATGTACCATTGAGTAGCGAGGAAATGTACCATTGAGTAGCAAGGAAATATACCTTTGACTTGTGAGGAAATGTACCTTTGAGTAGCGAGGAAATATACCTTTGACTAGTGTGGAAATGTACCTTTTAGTAGTAGGGAAGAGTACCTTTGAGTGGTGAGGAAATGTACCATTGAGTAGCGAGGAAATATACCTTTGATTTATGAGTGAATGTACCTTTTAGTTGTGAGGAATATGCCTTTGACTAGAGAGGAAATGTACCTTTTAGTAGTGAGGATATGTACCTTTGAGTAGCGAGGAAATATACCTTTCACTTGTTAGGAAATGTACCTTTTAGTAGTGAGGAAATGTACCTTTTAGTAGTGAGGAAATGTACCTTTGGCATACAGAGCAATGGTGGGCTCTCTCAGGTTTGATGCTGCAACACTTGGGACACTTGAAGAAAACGTGACCTTCTCTGCAACCCATCTGTTGAATCATCTCTTTAGTGGCGTTGCCTTTGGGCACTGACCCCTGTAGAGTGAGAAAATAAACAGAGTAAATGCAAGTTAATAAACATGAATACAATTTAAAATTTAAAACTATTGCCTGTGTTCTTGAGTAGGTCTAGGTACCTACTCAATAGAAGGGGGTGGAGGGGGGGGTAGGGGTTGTTGTTTGTGTTACCCTATGCTTTTCGCTATGTGTAGCATTTTGTTGAGTCTTTTTGTTAAGTCATCTTTTTATCACTAATACTGAAGTCTATATTTTGGTCACATTTTTTAACCTCAATCTAGAATGACGAGGGTTGTCCAGAAAATAAAAGACTTTATGCAATCACCACCATCTTATTATCAGAGCATAACTACACTCGGCATGCATCCAGCTACACGGCCAACGCTAAATGTCTGTTACTTTTTGGAAAGGTTTAAAATTAACCTCTACTTGTTAACTATACCTCTGCAAAGTACTCACCGGATCAGTGAACATGGTGCGTAAGTGAGAAGCAAACGCAAGAACGGCCAGTGTTTGGAAGATAAGCATGTTGATATAACTGTAGATCGGGTATGGACTGGGTATCAGCATTACGCTCATCACCACAAACTCTGCATAAAGGATCAGCAGCCAGGTCAGGATGGCACAGACAACTCCGCATATGTCCTGTAATCACATGTAATAGTTTAACACATGTCATGTTTGTCTTGCCACGGCCTTGTACCTAGAGGAGGCCAAGCTAGAACCCATTTCCAATAGGAAAATGAAAACAACCTGAGTTAGAATGTTGAACAACAAATAACATTATTATGTGATAAGATGCTTAGGCCTAATAGTCTTCTTGTTTTAAAGTTGATTTGTAGGCTAAATTCGGCTTTTAGCGAATTTCCCTATAGGGAAGTAGCTATTACCGTAGGTCTCATGGTAAGACCTAAGCCCGGGACCCCAGAGGCCAAAAACACCATTCGTTCAAATTTTTATATATCTATATATCTAATATATAAAATTCTCGTGTCACAGTGTTTGTCTGCAAACTCCTCCGGAACGACTTCACCGATCGTTATGAAATTTGGTGTGTAAATTCTGTAGGTATGCGAATCGGACGTAAACTATTTCCCGTTTCAAAATTCTTAAAAGGGCTCCGCCCCAGTGGCTCTGGAGTTTCCCATGTTAACCTTATGAGAAATGGAATTAATGAATCTTAACAGCTGTTTCAATTAAACAAGTTGGTTCTGTTCTATGATGTTCAATAGCATTAAAGTTACAAGGATTACCAACAGGGTGCAGCACTATTATTTCTTTTACATTTATGACAACAGCTAATTTGCAACCAAAAGGTGAGTGAGCGTAGCGAACGAACTTCAACCTGGAGGCGAGTTAGCGTAGCGAACGAGCTAACCTGAAGGCAAGTGAGCGCAGCGAACGAGCTCCAACCTAAAGGTGAGTGAGCGTAGCGAACGAGCTCCAACCCAAAGGTGAGTGAGCGTAGCGAACGAACTTCAACCAGGACGTGATTGAGCGATGCGAACGAGATCATCTTGAAAATTAAACGTAACAGTACTTTCTTTCCATCGGTCTGTCTTAGGGGAAACCTATAACTTAGGCGATACGAAGTTCGCCGGGTCAGCTAGTAGATATATATATATATGTGTGTCCATCCGCACGATAACTTGAGTAATTTTTGTCCGATTTTGATAAAATTTGGTTTGAAGGTGTAAGGCGGGATAAACTTGAATGAGTTCGCGAACTAGCATGATCGGACTATGGGAACGGGGGTTTATGGGGGGTTTTATGGGGTAAAAATAGGTTTTTCCCATTTTTGACCCTAAAAACACAAAATTTCACAATTTATTTTTAAACCATTTTGTAGAGCTTAAAAAAACAAATAATTTAGTAGATTGAAGCATTATTATGCGCCTAATTGTTACGGAGAAAATTCTAAAAAATTGTAATTTTAAAATTCCTATGTTATTCTTATGGAGAATAAGTCAACTGTTGTAGTTTGCTTGTTTATGAACATATTTTAATCAAATTTGGAAAATACATTAATTTCTTACTAAACCACAGTACCTTTTAATATTTTACATTTAAAAAAAACTTTTTTACCCTCCCTGTTGCAGCAAACCTAAGTACTCATTCAACTAATTCTGTTAAAATAGGGAATAAATGTGATATTTTTAAGGAGACATTTTAGTTTAAATCCAATCAGGCAGATGGAAATTCGCTAAGTCTGCAGGTTTGCTGCGGCGGGGGTATTTTTCTAAAGGTCACTTTACATAACTAGGTCCACTTGAAAATACAGTTCCTCGTCAACTTCCTTTTTTGATTGACCAAGTTCATATTGTTTGCGTTACATAGAGTCACAGGCAATAATTAAATAATTGGTTTTAAGGCCTAACGAAGCATTACAGGGTAGGCCTAATGGACGACACAGTCGCAAAGAGGATGCAAGGAGAAGAATACTTCCCTTTTCCCCACTCCCACTTACCCACTTTTTTTGTGGGTATTTCGTCATTTCTAGTTAGAGCGAGGAGATCCTTCTTGATCCTCTTTAGGCTAATGAGTGTTGCCATTTTTCCATCTGTTCAATGTGATTATTTCATTGTCAACATTTTTGAATGAGAAAAGGAGTGATCCTATTAATAATTTTGTACAGAAAGTTAGGCTAGCTGGTTTGTTTTTTAAATCTTAGTCAATTGTTGAAACTTTTGTTTTTAAAAGGGACAGGTTGCAGGTGGCCAAGTTACCGGGGAAGAGTGTAGAAAAGGGGCGGTATGAAATAGGAGGGGGTTTGCACTCGTGTCATTGAAGTGGGATGGGCATTACTGATTGGAACCAAGAACTTAGGTCAAACACTATCCCATATTAGGTCAGAACTATCCCAAAAACCTTTAAAGGATTTATTAATGGGTCTTTGAACCCAAAACTAGTCATCTTAATTAGCCTAACTCACTTAAGTGATTTCTAAAATAGTTGGTGAAAATGCACAAGATCCACATAGGCCTAGGCTACTCAATGAATATTCTCTGAAACAAGAACTTACTCTGATGCACCATAGCCAACCGCCACAGCAACGGTTGTGAGGGTCCACCTCTCTTTTGTACAGCAAACTGTCATAGTCCATCTTCCATTTGTTGTCTACAAGCAGAAGCAAATCAGTAATATCAGGTTGGATATAAGTTAATTTACCTAACCCGCCATGTTAAACTTCCCTATCCCAAGCGTGATGTATATAACTTCGTTACTTCTCGAGTGATGTAAAGTTGAAAAAAACTCACTCGGTGGTGTAATGAAACCCATTTAAATAACATTGAGTGATTAACTTAAAAAATATACCTCTATGGAGCCAACGACGTTCAACGCTTGAAATCAGCTGTGCGTTTGAATTTTATTGTTATGTTTTGAAGAATTTTCCTAACCTAGCTTTTGTTTGTTAATGAACGTTACTGTTAGAAGATGAGTGAAATGGATAATGAAAAATATTGTTCGTAACCTCCTGTATATTGTCGGGTCAAGTAAAATCTTGTACTTTACACGTTACGCAAGAACGTGTTTACATCACTTCGGTAAATTATGCAACTTGCTTCCGCTCGTTGCACAACATTCACCTGCGTGATGTAAAAACGCTCTTACTACACTTGTAAGGTAAATAGCTATAACAGCTGTCAATTTATTGAAAAAACAAAAGATAACTGTGCTTAAAGATCCAAATGCTATAAAGTTAATTGACACAAAAAGCATCAATAAGGGACTAAAACATATTAGAAAGAATGTACAGTTAAGTTTAAGGGTTAAAAGATATACCAAGCCTATTACAGATTGGATACTGTCCAGGTTCAGTAGTCTATGTACAAACCTGTTTGTTTAATTAAGTAGTAGATTGGAGTTAAGTTAAATAGTTACTGAAAATCTTATCTTTGGTTGGTAACATACTAACATAGACTAAGCAACACAAGTAGATTCCTCATCCCATTGTAAATTTTGAAGCTTGTTTTTTGTTTCTAGTTCATGTACGTCCACACTGATCGCTGGGGTAGACAAAATTTTGTTTCTATTATTTTAGTGTTATTTTCATGATTTGTGCTTTACTATTTGGTTATATAACTAGGAAACCAGTTATTGTTTATGATTAAATCGTTTTATTTGGTTAAATCAGGTTTTAAATAACTGAAATAACAAGAAACAAATTGTAAACAAAACATAACCTCTACAGTTGGACGTACAGAACTAACAATGCAATTGGCTTCAGCTGTTCCATAAGGATGACAAATCTACTTAGGGAGTATGATTTATCTATGATACTAATAATAAGTTTTAATAATAAAAACATCTTTGCCACCAAGACTGATATTTAAATATATAATAGGTTACATACCTTGGTCCGTCTTCAGTCTTAATTTTAGTCTATGGATGACTAGTTTCGGGTACAAAGACCCATTATCAAATCCTTTAAAACATCGTGTAGAAGATGGTCAAAAATCCGACGGAAGTCTTCATCAATATATAAATACAGGTCAACACATAAATTTTATTATTAAAAAAACACAAATTACGAAACATTTAATACGATAGGCCACCCACATTTAACACGGGACAAACCGACGCAGGTTACACGGTGGACACAACAGAACTATCCCAAAAACCTTTAAAGGATTTGATAATGGGTCTTTGAACCCAAAACTAGTCCATCTTAAGTAGCCTAACTCACTTAAGGGTTCACGTCAAAAATGGCCAAAATGAGTTATGAATTTTTACAATTTTTTATTTTTTTTATATTTTTTATTATATATTAAATTCTGAACATAAAACAGTTAAAACCAACCTTATACGATTTTTTTTCTCATAAAAAAAATACTTTGAAGTAGCACTTTGTCAATCACTAAAAGCACCGTGTTTTGGTATTCGGTCGTTGCCAAAAATGGCCAAAATATGAATTTTTACAATTTTTAGCGAATTTCCCATATAGGGAATAAGCTATTACCGTAGTACTCATGGTAAGACCTGGACGCGGGACCAATTTTTTTTTTCGTTTCGAGGTCCCTAGAGGCCAAAAACACCATCCGTTCAAATTCATATATATATATATATATATTTATATATTTATATATTTATATATATATATATGTGTCCGTTAGCACGATAACTCGAGCAAAAATTATCCGATTTTGATGAAATTTGGTACAAACGTGTAAACCTACGTTTATTCGAACGAGTTCGCGATCCAGCATGATCGGACCATGGGAACGGGGGTTTACGGGGGGTTTTATGGGGTAAAAATAGGTTTTTTGCATTTTTGACCCAAAAAACATAAAATTTAGCAATTTCTTTCCAAACCATTTTGTAGAGCTTAAAAAAACAAATAATTTAGTATATTGAAGCGTTATTATGCGCCTAATGGTTACGGAGAAAATTCCAAAAAACTGTAAATTTAAAATTCCCATGTTATTCTTATGGAGAATAAGTAAACTGTTGTAGTTTGCTTGTTTATGATCATATTTTAATCAAATTTGGATAATGCATTCATTTCATACTAAGCGATTAACATTTTACAAAAACACCTTTTTACCCTCCCTGTTGCAGCAAACCTAAGTACTCGTTAAACTAATGTTATTTAAATAGGGAATGAATGTGATATTTTTAAGGAGGCATTTTAGTGTAAATCCAATCAGGCAAATGGAAATTCGCTTAGTCTGCAGGTTTGCTGCGGCGGGGGTATTTATTTTTTTATTATATATTAAATTCTGAACATAAAACAGTTAAAACCAACCTTATACGATTTTTTTTCTCATAAAAAAATACTTTGAAGTTGCACTTTTGTCAATCACTAAAAGCACCGTGTTTTGGTATTCGGTCATTTTTCAAAAGTTTACTTTTTTCGCATGGGAACATAAATATCTCAAGTTCTATACTACATCTAGAAGGATGAAATGTTTTTTATTTTGTTCAGTTTGACAAGATCTACATTCTCTAGCATGGATTTGTAAAAATAATGTCATTAAAATATTTAAAAAAAAATAGTTTTTACCAGTTATTTTGGGGAAAAAATATTTCAAAATTTAAAAATTTACTGTAATTTTATTTTATATAATTTCCTTAAAAACCCCATGCTAGAGATTGTAGGTATTACTCTCAGGAACAGATAAAAAAAAAAAAAACAACCCTCTATCACTTTTAAAACCTGAGAAATTTATGTTCTCGCAAACCCTTGCAATACACAAAAAATCCCCCCCCCTCCACCATTGGGTATCGGGAAAAAAAATTTTCCAGTTTTTTTCTGTAATGTTTTATATAACTTCACCTTAAGGTGTAGTATGAGTAAAATTGGTTTGTAAATAAAGATTTTCACTTTTTATTTGAACTCCCCCCTTAAGTAACTTAAGTGATTACTAAAATAGGCTACTGGTGAAAATGCACGAGATCCACATAGGCCTAGGCTACTCAAAACGCAAATAGGATAACAAGATTAATTGGTAAGCTGATCCATCAGCCAGCCTTAGGTAGGCTTGGGTATTATTGTTGTTTTTTCACAACTTTACGTCTACAGCTAGTTCTGTGTACGCTGAAAAATTAATAATTCCGTGTTTGTAGGCCTACTTTATATGCATAGGCCTAGCTCTCTGGGAATCCATATGGATAAACCCAAAATTAAGCCTAACCTATGTTAGGCTATAGGCCTACTTTATACATTTTAACTTCTTGATACATTCAAACAAATAGGCTAATAACCCAAATGAAAACTATGTGTTCTTTTAATATTTTATATGCCTAAGTCGAAAAAATACCTAGAAGAATCCTAAACTAGGCCTAATTCAAAGCCTAGGCTATACCTAACTGAAGCCTTCAAAGTTCTTACCTCAATAATTATAATTTAAATTTTACTATCACTGTCGTAAATATTTGGCCAGCCAATCACTTTCTCGAAATTCACTTTTAAATGCATTGCAAATACGTTTAGAAAAAAATAAATTAGAAATAGTACCTACAATAATAAACAACAAAAATATTTTTACATTAACAGAATAAGCCTAGCAGTAAAGCAGTTAGCAGAAATCTTAAACGCAACTTTAAGTACTGACGACTCTGACTCTAACCTAACCTCCAGTAACAAGAAGAAGATAAACATGCAGGAGAATAGGAAAGCTTGTTTAAAATAGTAACAGCTTTGATTTTGTCCTTAGACAAACATCTTTATTCTATGGCTTAATTGTGTTTATTCTATGCTAACAGCACGGCCGCCTTTAACTCCAGCCGCGGCCTTCGAACTGGCAACGTTGCAAGTGGTGTTGTAATAGCTGTTTTGTTTGGAAACAGCTAATGTATTTTGTGTATTTACGAAAGCTTGGTTGCTGGACTTTGACAATATTGACTCCGCTTAAAAATGTTCAGATATAGACTTTAATTCATATTGTTTCGGTTTTCAAATCTGTATGTTTTATTTTCAATATTTGAATAAATTTATGTTCATAAATTTAAATTGAAATCAATGAAGTGAAGTGCGAATTAATGAGCTGATGTCACCTGTCTGCCATGTTATCTTATGGGACGTCCGTCACTGAACAACACCACTTGCGATGTTGCCGATTCTACCAGGCCGCGGCCTGTAGTTAAAGGCGGCCGTGCTAACAGGCATGGTCTAACATTATTATGATGGAAAAAGAATTATAGGACACCAGACAAGGAGAAGGAATAAGTTTAACCACTCGCAATAAAGACAAGCGAGCAATTGCCGTTCTGTTTGTAGTCTGCGATCTGTGTTAAAAAATTGTGTTTTCAAATAAAGTACCGGCAACACTACTGTTCATAGAAACTACGCCTTTCATCCCCATTACAAGACAAACAAAATTCAAATTACATTTGTTTTTGTTTAGAATGTGTAAATACAGACAAGTGCTTCAGCATGACACTTTTAACTTCCTTGTTTTATACTTTAAAAAATTTAGTAATGTTTAACTTCATTTATCATTATTTGCAAGTAGAATAATGAAAGTTCAAATTTAGCACAATCATAATGAAGCCGGCTTATCTCCAGCAAACTCAGCATTTACGGCGTCAAATCGAGAAGTAGTTGGAATTGTCATGAGACATTTTTATGTACGTGAATATCAATTATTGCTGATTCAGATTCATAGGCTTGCAGTTTGTTTCCTTCTTGCCCATTAGCCTTTAAGCCTTTGACAACAAATATTCTAAAGAGCAAAACGAACTCCAAACTGAATAAAGCTCTCTGATTTAGAGCTTTAGATACAGTAGTTTGTATAGCTTGTTTAACTATTGTCAATTCCAAGAATATACGCCATCATGTTTTGATTTAACCTCAAAATTTGACAGGTATGAACACATCGCAGTACTGCCAAAAAGGTTAACCTTAGATATTTCACCACACCTTGACCGCTTCTAGCTAAAAAATCCAACTATAAAGCACAAACTATAAAATTAAATCGAGAATGAGAGAACAAACATTTGGCTATACAGTAGTGCTAAATCAAGAAACACATGCTATACATAATATTCAGATTTTACAATAGGAGGACAGGTACTACCACTACAAGCACTACTCAAAGTCAATGCTACAAGCAAACAGTTTTAAGGTTTACTTTTGTATCTAACAATATTAGGTATACTTACTCACTTAGCAAAGTAGTACACTATAATTGACTATATTATAACACTACAAGTGTTATATAGTCTTAAAGTATTATATTGTCTGCGGTACTAGGTACTATCATAGATGAAACATACTCCCTTGTACTATGTAGTTAAAGGTGGCCGTGCTATAGCACATAGACTAATAAAGAAGGCATTTTTAATTTATGGCAGGACGTATCAACCACTGAATTGACTTGACTTTGCTGTCAACTAGTAATTTATTACCTGCTTACTTGCTTGAGGCCAGACATTTTTTAAGCGCTGCGTCAAATTTTGCAAATGAATAAATTACTTTATTAAAAAATAACGTACCGTAGATAAAACATTACTCCCTTAGTGTTGGTTAGTCTATGAACGTACCTAATCGACATGTAATACAAGGGACTAAAATATAACAATTATTATTATACACATTGCTCTTGTTTATCCCACATCTGACTTTTAAACTGCTTTGAAAAAAGAGCATGAAGTTCAAGGAATGTGATCTTAATTTACCAGCTGATTAAAGTGTAGTAAGCTGACTTTTCATTGGTGGTAAAAGGATAACATTTGTAACGTTCTTGATTTTTAGCGAATGACAACCACGGTCCACGAATTTTAGCTTTTTTTTAATACAATAGTGAAAAAAACTTCTAATTTTCTGTTTGTATATGTGTCCACTGCCACTCTGTTAGCATGTACTGTATACAGACTGTCATTTCCAGCTGTCAGTGTCAACCAACGTCAACTAAACTAGTGTGTAGTTTCAAGTGCAAGTGGGAGTGGTGAACCTGTTCTTGTTGATATCAACGTCTCGATTTCTGATTAGTGCTCAAGAGACCTAAGTTATCAAAAAACCACGAAACTAACCCGTTTTCCTTTTACTAGAATCGCCACCAAGGATTTCAAAGGTAAAACTGACTCCAATGTTTACTAGGCTATTTTATTTCATACAAACGAAATGGGCTAGGCCTAGGTTATGTTCAAATTGGCAACACAAACTTTCTATATTAAGTATACAACCGACTGTTTTCTTGCGAGCGAGAGAGTATGAATAGACTATATACTTAAATCTATCTTTTTCATATCCTACTTTGTCTTAAACTTAATCCTTCTTAGTTAGCTTGTAACTTATTTGTTTGTACACTTCTCCGCTCTGAATCTATGGGCTAGTCCCTACTTGAACCTTGGCTTTTAAACTGTAATTCTCTGTAAGCTAGTTTAAAGATTGACTCATTATAGGCTTTTGGAATCCACTTCAGATAGGACGGATTCGCGTGTCAACTAACCTAAATAGTTAACAGTATAAGTCAATAGTAGTCTATGATAAATAAAGCATAAGTTTTGGGTTAGACTTACTTATGTTGGTCTTTAAAGTTATTGTAGGCTACCAATTATTTACAATGAGGCAAGGCCTCCACAGCAAATGTATTATCGGCTGCACTTTACTTTAGGTCCTATACCCTCATTCGAATGAAAATATTGATTATTCGATTGTTTCATTCGATATATCGTTTGGTTAGTTAGGTTATATTAACCTTACCTAACTAACCAAACGATACATCGAATGAAACAATTGATTAATCGATAGGTATATCGATCGATATTTTCATTCGAATGAGTGTAGGACCTAAAGTAAAGTGCAGCCGTATTATCAATTAGGTAGGCCTATGAATATGAATCATTGATATGGGGACACCACCTAGGTGTGTAGTTTAACCGAAATATAAGTGTAGAATGGTGTGAGGTGATGTGTGTAGCTTTGTTACTGACTAAGATCAGCTGTTTCACTAGTCAGAATAATTTATTTAAAGCCCAATGATCAGGGCCCAGTTCCGACTTCCGAGCCATCAATAAGCTATATACTGGTAGGCCTACGCCTACAGACTTTTCTAAAGATCGAACCGGCAAAGTTCTTCTACTTAGTAGTAAGCTAATTGTTAGATATTCTTTGCGTGGATTAAAAAAAAAAAACTTCAGCATCTTTACTTTCCCTTACCTGCTGAAATTCTATTAGGCCTATTCTTATGCATGTAGGACTTGGTCCATCTCTCACTACACTGGATGAAACTTGTGGTAGGCTACATGTTACATTTCCTTCTGCCTTATTGAATAGTTATGGATTGGTTGAATTTTTGGAAAATTTTCTTGCTTCTTTTTAACTGTCACTGAAGACTCAAGAATGAACAGAGCAGGCAGTATGAGTATTTTTATTTGTATTAAAGTTGGCTAACAATGTTATAAGTAAGGTACGCTCTCAAATGTTCTTACTAAGCGTTTTTGAAGCAAAAATATACACCGCCAAAGGACTATTCCCCAAAAATATCTCACCGTAATTCATTATGTTATGGAAGCATCCAAAATAAACTATCAACAGTAGGTAGCCTACAGCTTGATCAACTGTCAATTGCAGCCTACGTACCATGTGACACACAGCTGTCAGTCTTGCTGCTGTGGCGTTCACTTGGTTTTGCCATTTTAAGTCACTGGCTATTGTCAGACCAAGATACTTAATAAAGTCATCTACAACAAAACTAGCTGCCTCAAAGCAAAGTGAAGTGTTTTCAGGCTTCTTACGGTTGTAGAATTGTATCTAGCCTTAGTTTTACCCCTATTCAGTATAAGATCGTTTTCTTTACACCATCAGCTCATTTCATTTAGGCCAGTTTGTGCCTTGTCTCTTAGCCTACCCAAGTCACTGTCCTGCACCAAGTAACTCACATCATCAGCAAAGAGAACTTCCCCTTCAGTTAAAAATTCAGGCAAATCGTTGACATAGACCAGAAGCAATTAATACTAGTCCAAGGTTGGAGCCTTGCGGCACTCCGGTGTTTATGACAAGGGAAATTGTAGAACGGTAGTTTCTTGTTAGTCCATCAGACCCTGAATATTTTACTGTTACAATCTGGTGTCGGTCCTGTAGATAGGTAGATAGGCCATCCATTGGAGTGGCTTACCTTTAATTCCAATATTTGCCAGTTTATTTTTCAGTCCACAATGCACGCTGGTTTTCTGAGTCAGATTGTCGTGCCAATTTTCTGCGCGCAGGCAGTCTGACTCAGACTTTTACTGGAATGAATTGTTCATTCTGGTTTCAGACAACCTGCCTATCGGACTGTTGATTTTTGTTTTTGTATTGAGTGTTTAATTACATTAACCATAGATATCGACGAATTGCTATCAAAAGTTCAACACATTCCAGCAAATTGCAATAAGCGCATCAAAGTGCATTTAAAAAAAAAATAGCAACATTGAACTTTAAATCTGCTGCTTTAATTATTAAATTGTTTGTCATATTGCTTTTTATAAAATGAACAATTTAACTTGTGGAAATTTATAAGAGGATTAAAATAAAGGTGTACAAGCTCATCCTGAAATATAAAAAACACCTGTTGTCGTCTGCAAGAAGTTGTGGGAAAATATGTATGTACCTATCTCTTAAATAGTTCTCAACACAGACAGGTACCTTAACCTGCTTGCACTATGGCCACCACAACGGAGTCAGACACTCGGCGCCAAAAATCTGAATCTGACTTCTCGTGGACGTACCCTTACTATGAGAGAAAGGTCAAAGGCCTTTGTCATGTCATAAAACAAGCACAGGGATTCCTCCAACACATCCCTGAGAATAAATAAACTGTTGTAGTTTACTTGTTTATGGATATCTTTTAATCAAATTTGGCAATTTTGTTTATTTCAAACTAAGCTATCAACATTTCAATAAACAACACACCTCATACAACAAAGGATACCTTAGCAGCAAACCACCAGCCACCTCTAATACATTATCTTAATGTATTAGAGGTGGCTGTGAGCAAACATAAGTGAACATCAAAATTAATGTTATTTAAATAGAAAATAAAATGTGACAATTATAAGGGTATATATTTTAGTGGAAATCTAGCCAGGTAAATGGAAATTTGCTTAGTCTGCAGGTTTGCTGCGGCTAGGGTATTTTACTTGACCTTGACATTTGTTTCTCCCACTTACATCTTTGTTTCTCTCTCTGGATGAGTCATGAATCAACTCAGTGGTGGCACTTCAGTGACTCATACCTTATAGTGTTTTTCTAACGGCTCTTTCTCAAAATGTCCCATACCTGTGCATTCAAAATAATATAGGCTCAGAGGTCAAATCAGCTAGCCCTAATCATATTTTTATATTATCTCAATATTAAAGATTGTGTGATGCAATTCAGTAAAAGGTGTGATCTCGTATCTATTATGGTCCCGGTTACCAATGATTGGACTATCAATTAATTTCACTATCTGTCATAAATAGGCCCTAAGACCAGTAAAAAAAAAATAGTTTATTCCCTATATAAGAAATGTACTAAAACGTAAAAAAATCCAACAAAGTTTCAAAAGATTGTGTACATGTTTTACTAGTAGGGACCTGCAAATATTTTTTTTTACGATACCTAATTTGGTTTCTATGCTCATAAATTGTTCCAGCGTCCATGTTAAACTATTTTTAGTTTATTCCAAGTCAAACGTATTCAATGCATTTCTTTGAGAAACTTTGTGAAAGGAAAGCAGCAGATGCGTTATAAATGGAAATGTTAAGGTCTCGCAGGCCCTTTACATCTGGGATATGATTATACAACACATTAGTGGAGCTGTCTTCCATTTTGACCTTAGGCTAGTTTTGTAAATATTGCTTTGGAAGTGCAAAATTTGTATGAAGCTTGAAAAAGAACAAATTAAAAATAATTTAGTATCGGCAAAGTGACACACTTTTTTCCCATCAGCTTATCAACAACCCTTATAGCATAGACAAATAGAATTAAATATAAACTGAGGAATTACGAACCGGTGGTTAGCATGAGGTCTGGCGTCCACCGCTAGGAGCGCCGTGTAGTTAAGGCGCACACGCTACCTAACTACACGGCACTCCTAGCGGTGGACGCCAGATTTTATGCTGACCACAGCACTGTTGTCGGTCTATACTTAATTCTATTTGTATACAGTATGCTCATAGGCTAGTTTGAGATAATGGCTAAACCGTAAGGGCAAGACTCGTTTCTCTGTTATATAAGAAACAACAAGACCAACTTCCATTTTACCGGTGTAACTACAATTTGCAAGCATTGTTTACAATGAATGCAATACTAAGCTGAATCCATAAAGTAAAATAATTAAAGTACATATGAACTTTAAAAATTTATTAATTTGCAAAACTACAACTTATTTAGAATTTTTTACTAAAAGTTAAATTTCTACCACTATCCTGTTTAAATTATTTGTTAGACAATTTCTTACAAAGGCATTACACATATTGCCGCCGATTCGTTGATTTTCGGGGTTATCGAATAGTGAACGTTATTCGGTCACTATTAATTTCGACTAATGGAAGTCATGGGAAAGAGGGAGCGCTATGGCGGAAGGTAAAGAATCAGTTTGCGAAGTATAAATGCTCAACGGCACTTTATGGAGCTATAAATCCAAACCACTTGAGTTACTTTCTTGAATCTCGTCGGCGCTCGAAACATTTCCCTGCGTTGGAAAATATCCTTCAAACTTCGCTGTTTCATGACTTGGTAATTCAATTGTGTTGCTAAATGGAATAGGGTTGGGGCTCTATAAAACTTTAATGATTAACTTCTTTTGTTTACTTTTTGTCGGCAACTTTAGTTTCGGTGGTATGAAAACATACGAACATTTTATTTTTTATTTGCAACAAAGGTATGGAGTACAAAGAGGAAGTTCATTGTTAGGATTTCTCTGTAGATGAACAACGATTAAAGATTCGAACAAAAAATTAAATCAACTTGCACACGATAACTACATTTACACGTTAAAAACTATTAAATGATGACACCATCACTAAAAAAAATAGAGTAAAAGATACCAAAGTTTGATTATAGTGAGACACTTGACAGCAGGATTTCCTCAAGAGCAAATTTATTTCT